CCTCGATCCATGTGTCGGAGGTTGCACCACGAGGTCCTTATGCGGTACGGTATGCTCGAACGATACGACACGGGCGCAAGAGTCATCGTGCCTCGATAGTGTCTGGATGGCTGGATGTCCGAAAAGTCCCGATCATAAATACAAGTACATGGGTCGGTTCTTAGTATGCGTGTCCAAGTGAGCAGTGAAGTCCGATGACATCCCGATGCTCGGGGTGGCATCCTAAAGTACCGGTGGGCACCCAGTAAGTGAGAAAAAGCTAGTCTTGGCCCGGTAAGTGGTAATACTCATCCTGATTGCCAAGTTTAGTCATTCCTTATTCGGAAGTCTGTAGGAATCATCCCGACAGTATCCGGTAAGGCCGTTTAGCCCGTTATTGACTAGTTTTTTGGTAGAAATGGACTTAGAGGCATCCGTTGGGTTTGATAAGCTAGCTTTGACATAGTTAAGCGGCAGGAATCTCCTGGTTGTACCCGGTTGGCGTTTTAAGCTCGTTCTGACCCCGTTATGGGTCAGAACTCATCCTGAAAGATTCTGGCTCATCGTAGGAGCGGGACGACCGAGTGGCCGAGAACCAAGATGGTTAGAAAAGAGTTGCGACGTCGTACTTAGAAGACCTTGGCCTAGAGTAGGGGCAAGGTAGAGCCATGGGGCTTGGCCTAGTGTAGAGGCAAGCCGGCTAGAGTCGCGATAGAGTTGAAATGCACGTACGGGCGACGTGCATTGCCGAGACAAGTTAGAATTCCGCTGCAAGTAAAGCTTGGTCGAGGAAGAAAGAACCTTGCCTAAGGTCCGACGAAGCCACAAAGGGCGCGAAAAGTGGATTGGGGCTAGAGTTCCCCATAAGGCAGGCCATGGTCTAGCTTAGATCATGGCGTCGCATGGTTGAAAATTGTACGACCGTGACACTTAGCATCTATTTCTAACCAAGAGGTGATACTACTAAAAAAAATTCTCCTAGTCTAAATATAGCCTGAATCCTCATCTCACATGTTGTAGTACTCAAAAAATAAAAATAAAAATAAGATATTTCACCCTCTTAAATAAAAAGAAAAATAAGAAATAAGAAAGAAAAACATGTACTATAGGGGCCAGTGGCCCGATTAGATTCGTCGGCTCGTGGGTTTAAGAAAATGTGGCCGAAAAGTTGGCTATGAAAATAGAAAATGAAGAAAAAGAAAAAAAATTTGTTGCCAGAAATCGAACCTGGGTTTCTCGAGTAAGAGCCGAGTATCCTAACCAACTAGACTACAACGAAGATGTTTAATCTGGTGATGAAAATTAGGGTTGTTAAATTAACTTGTTTTGGCCTCCTCAATTCTAAAAAAACAAATTTCTAGGGTTTCTCTACTTTAAGTTCTTCTCGTTTTCTCAAAATTTTCTTCCGAAGATCCGGTATTCAGCTAACTAAGGGAAATTGAATCAGATGACCCTCAAAAGTTTTTGAAATCCTCAAATGACTCACCCCTTTAATTGTGCCCAAATGACCCACTTTTTGCATTGATGATGTGTCAGAAGTATGTGAAATGACTAGAATGCCATTAAATGTAACAGATGACCGTTGGAATAATTCCCGACCGAGGTAGAAAAATTTCCACCCGAGGTAGCTTCAATGCACGGCAAAACCAATTTAATGCACACCAACTTGTACCTAACCAATCAGTATATGTCATTACTAACCTCAGAGAACATATGTCCTTATCGTGAATATTTTCTTTGCACAATCCTAAAAAAACTGAAAAACATTATGAATATTCTCTTTGGAAGTTTCAAGATTTTGGGAGAGGTAGTTCTTTATGCTTTCTCCTTTTGCCAATAATCTTACTTGATGTCTACATTTGAACATATGTGTTTTTATTTGGTCCTCGTTTGGTTTATTTTTGTTACAGTCGGAGTAACAATAACTTTTTTTATTTTGTTTTAAACCCATATGTTCATTCCTCCTGCACTATGCTTTTTAATTTTCGGGTCATTCTTGAGCGACGTGATATGATTCTCGGTCGAGAATCATGTTTTTGATGAACCTCGGGCGTGGTACTAAACTTTATCGACCGGGGTCAGAGGTTTTCAAAACGGAATGTTTGTTAAACTTACCTTGGGTCGAGGTCAGAAGCACATTTTTCTTGATTCCATAATTCTCGGCCAAGTTATACTCGACCCCAGCCGTAAAATTCAATGAGCTACGAAAATAGAGATTAAAGTTCTGTACATTTAATATGGAGGTTGTTCTTTATTTCAATTTTGCCAATATTCTCGAGCTCGAACTCGGTCAAGGTAGAGACCAAGGTTGGTATTTTTTTCAGTTGTGCAAAAAACCTCGAGCGTGAACCAGCCTACCTCGACCGTAAAATACAATGTTCTTCAGAAATAAAGATTAAAATGATCCTAATATTGAAAACCCAGTCCTAAACTTCATTAATTATTGATGTTTTGTCTCAATGTATCTAAACGAGTCCCTGTTAAATCATACTCAATATACTTAAATTCATTCGTATTATCAAATTTAACTAAGTTACGAGGTACAAAATAAGAAAACAGTTCTAATGGACTATTCAAAAATTGGTCTATTTGCCCAAAGTTGAAAAGCAAGTTGCCTCCTAAAGTATGCGATCCTAGACTGTCTTAGAGTATCCAATGCGGACCCAGTTACATCGTACTCGAAATACTTGACGCAGAAAATCTCACAGTCACCACCGCCAATCTACTGTGGTGCTGACATATCTCATCGAATCCGTCATGGTTGGATCGGTAGATTGGGTCGGACTTTCATAACATCACATTTTAAGAGCACTACTGGGATGATGGTGCGCATTACCTTCAAATGATCCTCCATAGCATCATTTGTGGTCATTGAATTCAAGCAGTCTCATACTACGATCTCGCCTTCCTCGAGGTCGATAGATACCATTACCCAATGCTTGCCCCTGATGTTAAAAGGGAGATATATGGCGTCCACTTCCATCCACCTCAAAGGGTAGTCCGTATGAGCGTCGTCAGTATAACCCATGATGCTCTTGTCCCTCCCGTCCCAATCGTACTCGACCGCCACTCTCGAAGGCAATGAACTATCAGATTGCATGCATGTATATGGACCATCCTTACGTCTGAAGTAGTTCTGTAATGTCAAATTTAACCCAATGAGTCATCGACCTATGCACTATGACCAATTTGAAGTTAGTGGATAGGCATGAACACACGTATCGCAAGAACTAGATTGCTAGTTGTAAACTTCTGAGAATACAGGTCAGACAGCTGCTTAAGCTTCTTCCGCACTAACATGAACAACTCATCAACAACCTACAAACAATACCCAATTTATAAACATGAACGTATACATATTTACTACATTTAGTATGGTTATGACCACTTACCTCGGTTGTGCACCAGTTACCTGGCCTCAATAGGTTGTGGAACCAGGCCTTATTCCTGACGGAGTATGCGATCTTCCGCGTTGAACGTTTCTCATGGTCATCTAGCCACACCTAAAATTTGTCATCTTCCTCTTTCGGAAATCCACAACTGGACTGTATTGTATGACCTTATGTCGTTTTCTGTCCACCTTCACTTCAACCGACGCACGCAACTTCCATGGTACTTTCCTTTCTCGTTGCGGTCGCACAATTTGGGGACGTGACAATGGTTGTGATATGAGACGTACTTCGTCCGAGTCTACATGCTGTGATTGGTCTGGTACAACCTCGTCCGTCGCTATGCACTATCGACGTATTGGGACTGAAAGTAAACGAGTTAGAACCTCGATAGATCGACAAAATGAAGTATATGAAGTACGATTTGATACCTCTGGTGTCGGTGTCTGAAACCAGTTCGAGTCTGACTCAACCTCTTCCACGTTACGAACCCTTGCGTCATCTTCCATGTCAACCTTCGGTACCTCGTGAACCTTTGGTTCTTTCGGGACATCAGATGCATTTTGGACCTAGTGAACCTCTGCCATGTCAACGTCCATGTGGTCTGCTCCACCAGCATCACCGCCTACTTTGGCTCTTTGCATATCAGCAAGATCGACCCTATACATCAAATGACATATCACACCATCCAAATTTTAAAAAACATACAGGAATACAAAATTTAATGAATTTGTCTACTTACCCTGGCAAGCCGTCGCAAATACTTCCGTATGGACTTCAACTCACCTTCCACATCCTTGAGCCTCTTTTCCACGGCATCCATATGCATGTTCAACATTCCTAACCGCTTATACACCTTCTTCTTGATCTTCTTCTTCTTTTTCTCTTTCTTCTTATTTGTGGCCTCTCCATCTTCAATATCATCGACCGGTGGATATTCGATCACATCGTCCTGGCCCTCGCATGCGGGTCGCGGACTTTGGAGCCCTTCTTCATCACTTTCCACATCATTAGATACTGGTGGTTCGAATGTCCTATTAAAAAATATCGTCTCCGATTCAGTTTKTTCTAAGCTCTTTGTTGTGGCCTGCACGAAATATGATATCACTGAGGTATGGTTCGAAAACAAGTGCATAATAAAGTTAGTCACTTACTGTTGTAGACTGGAAGATGTCTCTTTCTAGCATCAGCCATCCTATCGAACGACCACACCTCCACCGAGCATGCGAGGTACCACGTCATCATTAACTTTCATAGCACTCGTCCAGTCATGAAAGATATTGTCTCATACCGCTACACTTGTATAAATTATAGAGAATGTTAGTAATCATTAATGGGTCCAAATAAATATGGCAATTATATGATATTTATTTACATGAAACACCCACGGGAAACCATACAGACTATACGATTTTCTCAACCTCCCATCATCTGTCTTCTTCGCCAGTGCTCGTTGAAGACTTCTTATTGTCTTCTCAAACGATATGGATCCCAATCATAGTTGCAGCAAACTTCTCAATCATCTACTATTCCTAGCAAACTACTGTCATACTTCAAACTTCTCTCTCGTTCATGAAATACTAGTTCCACGATCGATACCTTCACCATGTCCCAATCATCCTCAAACCGTAACATTTTGTACTTCTTCTCCAAATCGGCCAAGGTCAAGTTTACGTCATCATCGAAGTACAAGGTTCTAAGCCTAACAGGATACGTGTCTTTCCTAACGTGTGCTCTCGAATATTTTAGGCCACTTATGAGGTCAAATTCTCTCCGACCGAATGACATCTTACTCCCAAACAAGTTGAAACTAATAGTGTCCGGACTACTCTTTTCTACCAATACCTTCCTAAGTAACAAGCTATGTATTAACAGCCCGTTAAATACTAGATCCACATCAAAGAGATGGCCAAATACAGTCTTCCTAAAAAGACAAAGCTGACGGGGGGTAAGTTTCTTTTTAATATCCTGGGCTGTCTTTGTTAGGTGCGATAGATAGGACAGTTGGGCGAGGCATACGGCGCGGGAGGGACCTTCGATACTATTTCCATTTCCTATAAGTAAATTCAAACAAACATGCACACTCATATTCAAACAAACAAAGTTCACACTAAAATATATGGTGAAAAATGAACACGGTTTAATTACTCAGTATAGAGGTTTGGTGCTCTTTGTTATTTTTCTCGGGTTCGTCCTCGGGCGAGGTTGAGCCCGAGGTTACCACGAGGTTGAGCCAGAGGTATTCAAAAGACGCTGAACCTTGTCGTTGAACATCTTTCAAATACCTTGGGCTCAACCTCAATGTTACCTCGAGGTTGAGCCTCTTACGAATACCTCAGGCTCAACCTCGCCCGAGGTCGAACCCGAGAAAAATAACAGTAGCACTTCTTCTTCAACCTCCCACCACACCACCTCAAACATTTCAAATGAACCTCCCACAGACATATTTCAAATAAACCTCACACTCTCACACACAAAGACCATACACTCTCACACACAAAGACCATATCGACATAAAAATACACTCAAAAATCAAGAACACCGAAATCAGTTTTCCTATTTTTCGAAACACGGAATACACGATCGATGCCATATTAATCATGTATTCGTTCATCCAAACACCGAAAAACGTAATCGACGGAAAAACCAAACATTGAACTCCTAAACAGAGTTGAAAATTGAAGCCCTAACTTTCAAAGTGATGAAAAAGAACAAAGCCTAACAGAAATGGAACTTACCTCGAGCGATTTCCAACGGAGAAAGAGAAGAGAAAGGGAGAAGACGATGGAACTAGAGCGATTTCAAACGGAGAAGGAGAAGACGAACGGTGCAATTTCGAACGGGGAAGGAGAAGAAAGGGACGTGCGATAATAACTGTTTGATTTTTGAACTGAGGGGTAATGGTGTAATTTCGTATCAATTTAAATTCAACTAAATATTAAAGTGGGTGATTTGAGCACAATTAAAATAGGTGGGTTCTTTGAGCATTTTAAGAACTTTTAAGGGTCATTTGAGTCAATTTCTCATAGCTATGTAATTTCTCTCCCTTCGATTCACTGGCACATAAAATTGTCTATGATTTCTATTTCTACCGAAAGGCTTTTCTCTGAAATTATTCACTTTATTCGTTAGTTCGTATAAGAATAGTGTTCAGTTGGAGATGCAATTTTTTTCCCCAATTAGGTGAAGTTCTGCAACGTAATTTTCACGATTCGAGTTGACTGTTAAATTTCTATTGGGCACCAGAACATTGCATTGTTAGTTTCTGTTCAACAGTTTTAGTTATTTTTCTTTTTAATTAAAGACAACCTGAGAGATTTGGCTTCTTTTTTCCATATTTAATGGTTAAAATCACGACTAGTTACATTCTTTTTTTCCTTTTTAAGATTTGAATCAGTACCATTGGATTACCGGTACGACATAACTTGTAATTACAAAAAGAGAAAACATAAAAAGTCTTTGAATTTGTAAATGTATTATGACTCACCAAGTATTTGGGGTTGAATTTATCTTTCATGGTCGTATTGAACTTCAAAGGTTGTTATTATTTGTGGCATTTTGAAGTTTCATGACTGATGCTCCAGTTAAGGAATAAATGCTTTTTGCTGCAATTAACTTGTATCCGAAGCTAGGGGAGTAGTTGATATTGCTATACTATGGCCAAGAGTTCAGCAGGAACTGTGCTGCTTGCATTTGTTGCTTTGAGTTTTCTAATCTTCTTTCTTCGTTACACAATTCTTATGCAGTTTTACGCATTTATCAATGCCCCTCACCCCCACCCTCGTGCTAAAACATCCTTCGATCTCTTTTATGTATTGAAATGCTTGACATTCTTGTGGTGGGAATTGAGTTTTGCATTCATATTCTTTCGGTGAAAAGTTTTAAACTGATGTCTTTCTTTTTACCCGACAGAGAACCAAGAAGGCAAGCATTGTTGGAAAATATGGTTATATTTAAAAGTTTCAACTTATGCTTTATATTTTTAGTATATTGGAGCTTACATAATTATTTTTGCAGAGAATATCTTTTTCTATTATCATTACTCTGCATCTAGTCCAATCTGAAGTTATTTACTCTTTATTGCGCCCTAATTACTAGATCTCTTCCAGGGAATTCTCAATGAGTTGCTTCATTCTTATGATAGAATTAGAATGCTACCCTTGTAGGGTTCTTATTTGTTTGGTTTTCCTCTTTCAAAAGTCATTGACGACCTTTAAGACAAAGGGACAAGTCCAAAAAATTATTAGGACCAAAGGAGAGAAAATTTCCTATGTAGAAAACAAACCTTTCAAAACGGATTCCCCTGTCCTGGTATCGAAAATAAAGTGGTACCATTGATGGTTTTGGTGGTAATGTTTCCCTAAAATATTTTTTGAGACGCGAGTCGATATACATCACTGTCATCACAAACCATATTTCTCGACTTTTGAAGATCCATGCTTAGTATTGGGATTACAATTACAAGCCTTCGCGTATAGCATACGCAAGTTGGATCATTCTCTGCATGGAGGATTTTCTTGTATTCTTTTCTTTTCTTAAATTCTGCTGTTGATAGGTACCCGATATGGGGCCAGTCTACGAAAGCAGATTAAGAAGATGGAAGTCAGTCATCACAGGAAATACTTCTGTGAGTTCTCTGAAAAGGCAAGTAGTTTTCCTTTCCTTTTCTTTGTCCAAGTTCTCATTTCCTAGTCACTTCTTCATTTTCAAAGTATATGCTTCCAACTTTGCAGTATGCAGTGAAGAGAAAGGTAGTTGGAATTTGGGGCTGCAAAGATTGTGGTCAAGTTAAAGCCGACAGTGACTACACACTCAAGTAAAGATAAATTATTTTGGTTTTCTTTTCTTGTTTTTTGTTGCTTGAAATATGAATGACTTTGATTTTAACGTAATTTTTGGTACCTTTGACAGCACTGCTAGTGCTGGGATAGTGAGGAGCACTATTAGAAGGCTAAGAGAGCGTACTGAAAGTTAAGCCAACTTTTTTTTTCTATTAGAAAGAATGAAGCTTCTATAGATTTCAATCTTTCTAACAGTCACCCCTCACCCGGCACTCACATCTCTCTAGGAAGAGGAACGTTTCTCAGGGTTTGCACTTAGCACAAAACATTGATATTTTCTTCATCGGTGAAATCTCTCATACTGCTTATAATTTTCTCATCTTCAGTAAACCTCGAAACTGATGTATTGAATTTGCCTCCATTTTCGTCTCTCCGATGAGTTCCTACAATAATTGTGGTAGCAAGTCCCTCCTCCGTGACGATGTCTCCGGTAACCTGATTTGCTTCTCCTACAGTATTGTTCAGGAATTTGACAACTACGAGGCTCAGCTTTGCGGTATCAATGGTCCACAGGGCACATTCGTTCGCATTGGAACCTCAGGTTCGGGTGGCGTTCTGAATTACAAAGACAAGAAAATCTTTGAGGCTCAAAAAATTATTGAAGATGTTGCGTTTAGATTAGGATTGTCTCCTTCCAAATAAAACGACGTTAGGCTTTTAGTAGCGACGATTACAGAAGGTGAGTATGGACTAGGTGATTGGTTCCCAATTCTCATTGGTGCTTGTGCTTACGTTTCCATGAGTAATGATAATATTCCATGACCAACGTCGGAGTTGCATCGACCATTGAATGTGATGTTCATGAACTTGGCAGAATGGTTCTCAGAGTTGTCGATTTTTGGATTTGAAAGGGCTTGAGTTCCCGGTGTTTAATATTGTGGGGTCATTAGAGCGGGCGGCAAGGAATTCACTGTCTTTCTCGAGAGTAGAAGCAGGTACAATGGAGAGAATGATTAAGCAAGGAATCTTTTTGTTACAGTGTGCTATGAAATGATTTCTGACAACTGGGCGACAACCACTACCTATGGTGGCTGTTGTGCTAGTTCTAGTGTCAAGATTGAATGGGGTCGAAGTCAGTATTGACAATGTAGTAATGGAGGTTCATGCCAATTTTTCTACGAGTAAGAAGAGGTACAGGGAACTTTTTCAGGCACTTGTGGAGGTTGGCAAAAAGTAGCCTTGGGGATAGGATATCACAGCGAAGAATATTGTGAAGAATGCACCTTGCGTGATCCAGTATATGGAGTTGAAATCAATGGCAAATGTTGGTGCTAAGGGGAAGAATTTGGAGAATGTGGGGATTGATTTGCAGGACGCAGTAAACGAGTGTTTAAGAAAAGAGTTTGAGTATGGGAGTGAAATTAAGAATTTAGAAGATGATTCTTGAGTTACGGAGCAATAGTAGGTTTGATGAATCCACTAGTGACTATAGGAACAAGCTCAGCATTTCACATGAATGTTTATCCTTGATTTATAACAAGTTTTTGAATGAAATGGATCATCTCAGGTCATCGAGTGGGATTGTAGAGGTCTATGGAAGAAAGCAGGGAAGAAAACCTAGTTTTCACTCTGGTACAGAGTGGTGGGAGGGAAAATCAGAATTAAGCAAAAAGCTTCTATTGCAGCAATTATTGGAGACTGATGTAGGGTTGAATAGTATCCCGCCATCATTTGTTTCTCGTTGCAATGCATACAAAAAGAGGAAGGAGAAAATAAATGCTGCCAGTATGCGAATTCAGAGGATCATGGTTCCGTCAAATGCTACGAGTAGTGATGTAAATACTGTGAAGAAAAGAAAGCGAAAGGGAGCTAATGGCATAGAATGGGAAGATATAATAATTGAAACCCTTCTTCTTTATAACTATAATCATGGCTTGGGAATTCTGGCTGGAAATACGTGTGGTTAATTGGACTATCAAGCAACTCCTACTTGTTTCTAATTGTTGTTCTTTTTTGTTCTGGCGAACCACGTAAAAGGTCAATCAGGATTTCCTTCTGTTCTTCCCTTTGCTATAGGCTCTCTGAACGTGAATGATTCAATACTCTAGTAAATTTATGTCATTGGAAGGATTTTCCAGAAGTTACCCTACTTGTTCATTTTTTTTTTGTCATAACAACAACCACTGTTTTAAAAATCGATTGAGGCGTAAGCGCCTCTTTGCTTACGCCTCTGAGGCTTGAAAGGCGTAAGCCTCAAGCTCCAATGGGGAATTATAAAAAAAAGCTCATTTAATGCTTAAATTTCTGTCCCTTGGACTAGTGGATTGTTTTACGGTGGTGGAAAACAACCGAATTAGTTTTCTTTGTCTGTTTTGTTTCATTTTTTCTACTGGCAGCCCAACCTTTTCTACTGTTATATGGTTTACAAGATTTTCAACAAATATTACACCTAAATATATGTTAGAAGTTTTTTAATTTGGTTAAGTAATGTTTTCGTTCTAACTTTTAATAAAAGTAATTGATGTGTTTTTTCTAATTTTTCTTTTATCCATATTTTTCCTGTTTGTTTTTTTTAATATTTCAGTATTCCTTTTTATTTTACTAATTTTTTAGAATTAAATTTTAGTTCTAATTAAAAAAAAAGATGCATTTCATACTTCTATATGAACACTAACATATTTGTAATACATGATTTTACATTTCTATTATTTTTTTACTTTTTTTCTATTTAAAATGAGGCTTACGCCTCACATCACCTCAAGGCTTACGCCTCGCCTGTTCATGAGAAAAAGCCTCAAAATCGCCTTAAGTCTTTTAAAACATTTATAGCAACTCGATTAGAAGCATTGTTCTTACATATTTCACAATTTTATTTAGTATCAAGAGAAATAAAAAAGAAGATTAAAGGGAAAAAATATTGAAGATTAGAGTACTTTTATGCATTACTGAAATGACGTGTAGGATGATAAGTACGGGCATGAGTCATCACCATCTGTTCTACGAATTCTGATTTAGCCTCCATCTCTATTTCGCAGGAAGAGGCTGTCCGACCAACTGTTTAGTTCAATCCTTTCTTTCCTCTTTCATTTCTTCTTCTTTTTCCTTCTTTCTTATTCTCTGTTTCTCTCCCCCGTCATTGAGGGAGAGATTATTGACCAACTGAAAACACAAGTTTCGAATTTTATTTGTAACTCTTTCGAAAAGACAAGAGGAACTCTTACTTATTAATTAGAAACAATGCTCTTTTAACAAGTCAACTTGGAGGGAGGGAATTAGAATTGTTAATATAGGTTCTTTACACTAATTAGGTTGTACTACTTGGGTTGTTTTTGAAGAACAGAAAAACAGAAGTTATAAACAACATAATACATTTTTTAAACTATTTCATTTAGTGATACTGTTAATGTACATTGTTGGACTTCTACACGTTTTATATATATCGACATAGTTTTCACTTTATTAAATCAATAGTCCTTTTCGTTATTCAATACGAAAATACACACACAAAAGCAACTCAATTACCAAATTTTCTACCAAATACATATTCAAAATAGTGTAATACAAGTTATACAGCTTTGTCTTTCATTCCCTCTCTAATTTTAATATTTTGTGTTTTAAATCATCAACCAAATGCGTCCTTATATGGTTAAAAAAATGTATCCTTATATTTATGGGTATTTTGATATACAATGGAATATATGTAAATTTTCATTTTCCATTCAGATGGCCCAATGAACGTGCCGAAGGCCCGATATAATTATTTGGGCCCATAAACGTGCAGTTCAATTTAGACATTCGGCTCATTTTCAAAATTCAGCTCTTCTAGTTCCCGCCGCTGATTTCGATCTTTCTCACAGTCACCCCTCACCCGACACTCGCATCTCTCTAGGAAGAGGAACGTTTCTCAGTGTTTGGACTTAGCACAAAACGTTGATATTTTCGTCATCGGTGAAATAAATCTAACAAAATTATTATTATTATTTTGTATAATATAACAAAACTTATTCAGTAATTCTTTTAAATAAGTTGTGGATTCTTACAAAAGTAGTAATTTTGTAATTACAATATAGTTTACTAGATTTATTTTAATGATGTATTTTCACCTGAGTTGTGCATCCTCAAATTTAATTTAATAATATATTATCAATTTAAGTTGTTTGAAATATTTATTAAGTTTTAAGTAAATCTTTTCAACTTTTAAGTTAAATATTTTTATTCTTATAATAATATATATATATATTTTAATTTATTTCGAAAGTTAAATATTTTTATTGTTAAAAGCATTATTTTTATTTTAAGATTTAAAACGAGCTTTGAATTCTTTGGTCGAATTTTCAAATTTGGAATTCTAATTTTAGGTAAATTATAATTAAGTTTAATTTTGGGTTTATTCGTTTTTAAAAAGGTAAGAAAATAAAAGAGAGAAAGAAATGAAAGAAAAAAAAAGGAACCCTAGACATCTTCTCGTTCCTCGCCCTTATTTCTTCAGCCGCCAGCCCCACCCCTATCTTTTTCTCCTTCTCCGGTGTTCTACCGGCGGCACACGGTGGCTGCGACTTCGAGTCCACGGCAGCAGTAGCAACTTCGACGTCCTCTCGGAATCCAAGACCCACGAGCATCCAAGACCGTTGGGAGCCCCTATCGACCCCGGCGAGAAACCGAGCAGCCGCACCTTCCTCGACCAGATCTGCAGCGGCGAACGGCGGTGCAGCATCTAAGGACGACGCGACGGCGTGTGGTCTGGTGATCCAGCAGCGGCACATCTTGGTTTCTTCGACGATAGCAACACCGGCGGCGCCTCAGCGATTTTTACAGCGATCCGGTAGTCTCGATCCGGCGGCGGCGCAGAACGGGTAACCTGCAGTAGCGGTGGCTCGTGCCCAGATCTGGCCGGCGCGCTCCCTCTGGTGAACTATCCCGGTGGACCCTCCACGAACTAAATCCAACGTCTTTCTTCCTTTCCCGACGATTTCTGCAGCGTTTTCAGCAATCCACGAACATCGGCAACCTTGGATCCATGTTGGTAGTGCAGCGATGTGTCGAACAGCAACATCCCAATATGTTTTGCAAATCCTAGCACTGATTTCTTCCTTCCACGTCGACCCACACCCAAACGAAGGACGATTTGAGTTACCCGCCCCCTCCAACATTTATTCGACGTTGACCCACTCCTATAATTTTCTCTTTTACTCGTTAGTAGTCTCACTACCTTTCTCCTTCCTATAATTTGCTCTTTTACTCGTTAGTAGTCTCACTACTTTTCTCCTTCCTCTGTTGCTTATATCTTTTCCAGTGCCAACAATACTTATTGCTCATGAGTTTACGATGCTCTGCCAGTACATAAATTTCAGGTTCGAATCCCTTATCCCAATTCTTATGATATGAACGTATATTGTATTGTTTATGAATCAATTTACATCAAGATATAATTGCAAAGTAACAAAATATAACAGCCTTGGATTTCAACATTTTCTTGACTAATTTGGACCTTGGGAGTTTCCTCAATGACCTATATTCATTATTCAATAACTTATAAGGACTATGCATAGGTTTCCTCAATCTATAGACAAACTTATAATCAAAGTTTCTTATCTATTTTCTGATTAAATGAATGGATGACAATCCATGAAGTTGCAGATACCTCATGATAGATCACTTATAATAGGCATCTCCATTTGTTCTGTACTCAAGTCTCTTAAATCGTTCATTGTCGGTGAAGAGAACGCTTCTACATTTTTTTTTTAATTTGATCTTGAACTTTGATATTTCATATTGTCTAGAGGACTCCTCGTGGCAGGTGTGAAAAAATGGTAGATGTAACAGAAGATTCAATGTAAGGGTTAATAGTTTAGTTTTGTGATTAGTCTCTTTTGCAAATCTGATCTGATTTATTTGAGAACTTTTATCTATCTCATATAGGTTTAAATTTGTTCTATCTCCCGAACTAACACCTGCAACTCTCTATTTGATGAAGTGATGCAAGTGGTCTTCAAGTGATGAGATCGCTAAGCTTAATCAAACGAATTGAGGGAGACTGAAGAACGGTTGGATAGTACCGAAGCCGAACCGAAGAAGTTTTAGCCAACAATCTACGAGAGTTCATTAACTTCAAAAACTAATTTGAAAGTTTCTTGAGTCAATTCTCAGGCGGATCATGCCCTGTTTATCTGGATAGGCATAAAACCTCTAGTTAGGTTTTTGTAGCTTTGGAAAGATTTCGAACCTATAAATTCAATAACTTTTGAAACATTTGAACCTGGATTATATTTTGGTATTTGACATTTTGGTATTTGACCTTCAAATGAGGTCTCTCAAGAATGTCGGGATTGAAATTAACCCATTTTATTTTATAAAAATTAAATAAATATTGGCAGAATAGTAGATCTGTCGACGCTTTTCAAAACGTTGGCATAATAGTAGATCTGCCAACGCTTTTCAAAACGTCAGCAGATATACTATTCTACCGACGTTTTGAAAAGTGTCGGCAGATAGAAACTTTTGCCAACATTTTGAAAAACGTTGGCTGATGGAAACTTCTGCCAACGTTTTCATAACTTCGACAACTCAACCAAGATTTCTCTAAAATGTTGGCAAAAGTTTCTATTTGCCAACATTTCTTTAAAACGTTCGTAGATCTGCCGACGTTTAGGAAACGTTGGTAGAAAGTCAGCTCTACCAACGTTTTTTGAACGTTGGCAAAAGTATTGTTCTGCCAACATTTTTTAAAAAACGTTGGCAATGTGATTTTCCAACGCACTTCTGGCGGCTTTTTTGCTGACGAATATTTATCATTGGGAGAAACTACTCCCAATGTTTTTTTGGTCTTGTCCCAACGTTTTATAGCGTTGGGAAAAATTAAAATTCTTGTAGTGAAAGGAGAGAGAAGTTTCCTCTGTAGAAAAAAAAAACTTTCAAAACGGATTCTCCTGCCCTGGTATCGAAAATAAAGTGGTACCATTGATGGTTTTGGTGGTAATGTTTCCCTAAAATATTTTTTGAGATGTGAGTCGATATACATCAGTGTCATCACAAACCATATTTCTCGACTTTTGAAGATCCATGCTTAGTATTGGGATTACAATTACAAGCCTTTGTGTATAGCATACGCTAGTTGGATCATTCTTTGCATGGAGGATTTTCTTTTATTATTTTCTTTTCTTTTCTTAAATTCTGCTGTTGACAGGTACTCGATATGGGGCCAATCTATGAAAGGAGATTAAGAAGAACGAAGTCAGTCAGAACAGAAAATACCAATACTTCTGTGAGTTCTGTGGAAAGGCAAGTAGTTTTCCTTTCCTTTTCTTTGTCCAAGTTCTCGTTTCCTAGTCACTTCTTCATTTTCAAAGTATATGCTTCCAACTTTGTAGTATGCAGTGAAGAGAGGCAGTTGGAATTTGGGGCTACAAAGATTGTGGTAAAGTTAAAGCCGGCCGTGCCTACACACTCATGTAAAGATAAATCCTTTTGGTTTTCTTTTCTTGTTTTTGTTGCTTGAAATATGAATGGCTTTGATTTTAACGTTATTTTTGGTACCTTCACAGCATTGAGTGAGGAGCATAGGAGGCTAAGAGAGCAGACTGAAAGTTAAGCCAACTTTTTTTTTCTATTAGAAAGAATGAAGCTTCTCTAGATTTCTCTTCATATCGTGTTCTAGGAATTGGTTATTTTTGAAATTCAGCTCTTCCAGTTCCCGCCGCTGATTTCGATCTTTCTCACAGTCACCCCCACCCGACACTCGCATCTCTCTAGGAAGAGGAACGTTTCTCAAGGTTTGTACTTGGCACAAAACGTTGATATTTTCTTCATCGGTGAAATCTCCCATACTGCTTATAATTTTCTCATCTTCAGAAAACCTCGAAATTGATGTACTGAATTTGCCTCCAATTTTGTCTCTCCGATGAGTTCCTGCAAGAATTGTTGCAGCAAGTCCCTCTTCCGTGACGATGTCTCCGGCAACCTGATTTGCTCCTCCTGCGGTATTGTTCAGGAATTTGACAACTACGAGGCTCAGATTTGCGGTATCAATGGTCCACAGGGCACATTCGTCCGCGTTGGAACCTCAGGTTCGGGTGGCGTTCTGAATTACAAAGACAAGAAAATCTTTGAGGCTCAAAAAATTATTGAAGATGTTACGTTTAGATTAGGATTGTCTCCTTCCAAATCCAATGACGTTAGGCTTTTAGTATCGACGATTACAAAAGGTGAGTATGGACTAGGTGATTGGTTCCCAATTCTCGTTGGTGCTTGTGCTTACGTTTCCATGCGTAAGGATAATATTCCATTACCAATGTCGGAGGTTGCATCGACCATTGAATGTGATGTTCATGAACTTGGCAGAATGGTTCTCAGAGTTGTCGATTTTTTGGACTTGAAAGGGCCTGAGTTCCCGGTGTTTAATATTGTGGGGTCATTAGAGCGGGTGACAAGGAATTCACCGTCTTTCTCAAGAGTAGAAGCAGATACAATGGAGAGAATGATTAAGCAAGGAATCTTTTTGTTACAGTGTGCTATGAAATGGTTTCTGACAACTGGGCGGCAACCATTACCTATGGTGGCTGCTGTGCTGGTTCTAGTGTCAGAATTGAATGAGGTCAAAGTCAGTATTGACAATGTAGCAATGGAGGTTCATGCCAATGTTTCTACGAGTAAGAAGAGGTACAAGGAACTTTTGCAGGCACTTGTGGAGGTTGGCAAAAAGTTGCCTTGGGGAAAGGATATCACAACGAAGAATATTGTGAAGAATGCACCTTTCGTGATCCAGTATATGGAGTTGAAATCAATGGCAAATGCTGGTGCTAAGGGGAAGAATTTGGAGAATGTGGGGATTGATTTGCAGGACGCAGTAAACGAGTGTTTAAGAAAAGATTTTGAGTATGGGGGTGAAGTTAATAATTTGGAAGATGATTCTCAGTATTTTGAGTTACAGAGCAATAGTAGGTTTGATGAATCCATTGGTGACTATTTTGAGTTACGGAGCAATAGTAGGTTTGATGAATCCACTGGTGACTATAGGAACAAGCTCAGCATTTCACATGAATGTTTATCCTTGATTTATAACAAGTTTTTGAATGAAATGGATCATCTCAGGTCATCGGGTGGGATTGTAGAGGTCTATGGAAGAAAGCAGGGAAGAAAAGCTGGTTTTCACTTTGGTACAGAGTGGTGGGAGGGAAAATCAGAATTAAGCAAAAAGCTTCTATTGCAGCAATTATTGGAGACTGATGTAGGGTTGAATGGTATCCCGCCATCATTTGTTTCTAGTTGCAATGCATACAAAACGAGGAAGGAGAAAATAAATGCTGCCAATATGCGAATTCGGAGGATCATGGTTCCCTCAAATGCTACGAGTGGTAATTCAAGTACTGTGAAGAAAAGAAAGCGAAAGGGAGCTAATGGCATAGAATGGGAAGATATAATAATTGAAACCCTTCTTCTTCATGGCGTGAAAGAGGAAGAAATTGAGAAGGGTCATTACAATGTATTGCTGGACTTGCATGTATTCAATTCTTGAAATTCTTAGAGGTTTTCCGCTGTTAAAAATGTATAGGAACGAGTTTATAGGCATGTGTAGTGGGAGATGAAGTGTACAGTTTTCAGCACGATTCTTATTATATTGTCTATTACAGAAAGAGAAGTTGTTTCTCCTCGTTTGAATGTGTCGATTGATAAAGATTTGGGCCATCTATATGAACGCAGGAGGAACTTGAGTTTATAACTATGATCCTAGCTTGGGAATTCTGGCTGGAAATACATGTGGTTAATTGGACTATCAAGCAACTCCTACTTGTTTCTAATTGTTGTTCTTTTTTGTTCTGGCGAACCACGTAAAAGGTCAATCAGGATTTCCTTCTGTTCTGCCATTGCTAGAGGCTCTCTGAACGTGAATGATTAAATACTCTTGTAAATTTATGTCATTGGAAGGATTTTCCATAAGGTACTTCCCTACTTTTTTTTTTTTGTCATAACAGCAACCACTGTTTTAAAAATTGTTTGAGGCGTAAGCCTCTTTGCTTACGCCTCTGAGGCTTGAAAGGCGTAAGCCTCAAGCTCCAATGGGGAATTATAAAAAAAAAGTCATGCGGTGGTTTTTGGCAGTATTTGGCTCATTTAATGCTTAACTTTCTCTCCCTTTGGGCTACTGGATTGTTTTACGGTGGTGGAAAACAACCGAATTAGTTTTCTTTGTTTGTTTTGTTTCGTTTTTTCTACTGGCAGCCCAACCTTTTCTACTGTTATACGATTTTCAACAAATATTACACCTAAATATATGTTACAAGTTTTTTAATTTGGTTAAGTAATGTTTTCAGTTCTAACTTTAATAAAAGTAATTGATGTGCTTTTTCTAATTTTTCTTTTATCCATATTTTTCCTGTTTGTTTTTTTTTAATATTTCAGTATTCTTTTTTATTTTACTAATTTTTTAGAATTAAATTTTAGTTCTAATTAAAAAAAGGATGCATTTCATACTTCAATATGAATAGTAACATATTAATAATACATGATTTTACATTCCTATTATTTTTTTACTTTTTTTCTATTTAAAATGAGGCTTACGCCTCACACCGCCACAAGGCTTACGCCTCGCCTCTTCATGAGAAAAAACCTCAAAACTGCCTTAAGTCTTTTAAAAACATTGACAGCAACTCGTAGAAGCATTGTTCTTACATATTTCACAATTTTAGATAGTATCAAGAGAAATAAAAAAGAAGATTAAAGGGAAAAAATATTGAAGATTAGAGTACTTTTATGCATTACTGAAATGACGTGTAAGATGATAAGTACGGGCATGAGTCATCACCATCTGTTCTACAAATTCTGATTTAGCCTCCATCTCTATTTCATAGGAAGAGGTTGTCAGACCAACTGTTTAGTTCAATCCTTTCTTTCCTCTTCATTTCTCTCTTCTTTTTCCTTCTTTCTTATTCTCTGTTTCTCTCCCCAGTTATTGAGGGAGAGATTATTGACCAACTGAAAACACAAGTTTCGAATTTTATTTGTAACTCTTTCGAAAAGACAAGAGAAACTCTTAATTATTAATTAGAAACAATGTTCTTTTAACAAGTCAACTTGGAGGGAGGGAATTAGAACCGTTAATATAGGTTCTTTACACTAATTAAGTTTTACTACTTGGGTTGTGTTTGAAGAATAGAAAAACAGAAGTTATAAACAACATAATACATTTTTTAAACTATTTCATTTAGTGATACTATCAATGTACATTGTTGGGCTTCTACATGTTTTATTTTTATTGACATAGTTTTCACTTTATTAAATCAATAGCCCTTTTCGTTATTCAATACGAAAATACACACACAAAAGCAACTCAAAAAGTGATTACATTTGGTTAGCATTATACCCATAGTATACGCCAGGTATACATGGAAAGCAACCATTCACCTGTTCCTTGCCGCCCAACAGCTTTCTTTTACTATAAGCAGCATTCAAGCACCACTTGCTTGTATATTAAACATACATCAAAGCATCTATATCCATTATCCACGTATACACATACATCAAATACATTCATGCATGCATATTTGTATGTATGGACATCACATGCATCTGATTAAAAAGAGCACAAAGAGAGGGTTGAATTTTTCTCTCTTGAAAAAGAGACAGACTTGTACAAAAGGCAATGGAAATGCAATACACAATTTACATATGATGATATGATAGATTGATGACTTTGTTTTCTTTTAATGAAAGAAATTGAATTGAAGAAGATGTGGTGACGGTAGTAGATTGATAATTAATGGTCGTGCTGACGGTTGTATGTATTAATTCTTGAATTTAGAACTTCTGCAGCGAAGACTTGTTAAAACGAAGTCTTTAACTACTGATTTTTTTTATGCATTTGCAGGTGTTGACCATGGCAATTGTATCAATTAAGTGCCATACATTTTCTATCATTGTTTCCCTGGAGAGAGAAAGAGAGAGGCCAACTTGTAATGCATATAAATCGACCGTTGCTTCTCTTCATCTTCCTTGTAGACTTGTTTTGTTCTCTCATTAACCGAGAAAGCTTCTTCGCACTCCTCTTCTATTGCTATATTGACATGACGGTAAATCTCTCTCTTCATGACCACACATATGTCAGTGTGTCAGTTCACTTGGTAACTTGCAATTTTAGTATATTTCTTGGACCATATCTGCCTGTCCTGTCAAGTTTTAACAACAGTGTCTCAAAATAGAAGATTCCCATTTGTTTCTTGGGCTATTGGGTATGTGTGGTTCAATACCGTTGCGAGTTTTTGTTGGTCGGGTTGTTTTCTATAGGACAAAGAAACCTATTTTTTAGCTAATAAGAAAGAATCCAACAGCCCATAGATACGTTTTTGGATTCATGCATGTTATTTTCTCCGACATTCCACAAAATTTTGAGGATGTCTTAGAACACGTTTAAGTTTTGCAAGGAAAACAAATCCTCTCCCCAACCTAATCTTGTCAGAATCTATTCAGCACGAGAGTTTCAGCTGGTATAAGATGTAGCCTGTAGCGTTGTGATAGTTGATTCTATGGTGTTCAATATCCCTTGTCTTGTGGTGAGTTTCACAGTATTCAGTGAGATCCATTCTTGTAAGAAAGTAAGAATGGTATAAAAATAAAATTGAAAAATAATAATTATAATTTATAACAACCAGCCCTTATATTATGAAAAAGGTGATGTTGCTTTTTGATATATTATTGTGTTAAAGATGACCTTTCCTTGGATAGGTGTGTTTCCCATTATTTTGTGAGAACTATGCTTGGGAGAGAGATAGAGAGATATTTTGGCTTTCTGGTTTCCATATCAATCGATGATGTGATACCTTTTGAATAACAAATTAGTTTTGACTAACACACCAGTAGGAATAAGTCATCGTCTATCATCTGAAGTGTCACTTTTTATTTTTTTTATGCAATTAGTTATATTATATACACAACAATGAGAATTTTCTACAATTTCATACATTTTTAATTCTCTTGGTTTCCATAAAAATAATGCACCATATCTAGAATTAGATAAAAACTTCTGGTTGTTGCTGTTTAATTTAAATAACTATTCTAGGCTTGTTAATATTCACTTATTTCTTTATATTTAAAGGTGAAAAATAAACTTAAGACACAGGACCCCACATATCAGATACCTGTTCTTGGTTAGGAAGTTCTCAAACTCATCTTGGTTATCTTAGTGGAAGGAATTGAGAATGAAGGGTTATTTATTTAATTAGTGTCTAGTCAACCTTTTAGTTTTTGGCCGCATTTATACTTTATTGGTTTCTCAAGCTTTCAATTGCAATTGGGAGTCTCTTTTCCAATGTCTATTAAATATTTCTGCTGGTCATTCCATGAACTTCCTAAGTCTACAAAACAGAG